GAAATACTACAGAAAACAAAGGTCTCTGTGCTCAGCAGTCTCTCACGCTCTTTAGCTCACCAGGGGACAGTAAATGCGTTTCTTAAAGAGGTCCTATGTTCCCAGATGTTGAAGCTGGATTAGTTGTGAATGCTTACCCCCCATTCCTTCTCCACTTTGGGTCATTCTTTACCAGCCTCTCATAACACTCTTTCAATGTGATTCTTGTTAGACAAACGGTCTCATGTTTCTGGGAATGGGAAATGGATAACATGAACACGCAGTCCTGTCCCTCCAGACTCAAGCTGATTTATGCTCTGATCCTCACCCTGGAAGGCGAGGCAGCGTGCTGGCACCCGCTGGCTCGGCAGTCGCGGGTCTGCCGTCTGACTGTCAGCATTCCCACCGTAAACTTCTGTTTTCAGAGGTTTATGACTTGGCTATAAAATGCTGCCTGGAGGGGGGTGGGTCTTACAGAATCGGTTTAAGTTACAAGAGAGTTAAAAACATAAAAAATAAAATAAAATGTCTGTAATTTCAGACACTATCTAGTGCTCCTGAAACTTTGGAAAGCCTGTAATTGTGCTGTCCGTGAGCCCTACTGGCATTCAAATCAATGCTTTGACGTTCAGTGTTTTAAATATAGAATGAAGACAGTACCTTTACTTTGAAGAGATGCTTATCAAAGAAGATTAATGTATAGCTTTTGGATAAGATAATAATGTGGGTTTTCTCTCTAGTCAAAACAATTTGAGGATCTTTTACACATGAATCGAGGACCACATCTGGTGGTCGGAAGTGACCAATGGTAATATTAAAGATGAAGGCTGACGAACAAAATTATTCAGGTTTCAGGAATTGAGGTAATCATAAATTCTATAGAGATGTACAATTTACTAGCACAATTATAGGCTAGCAGTTCTTCCCGTTGAATAAGCATATTCTTTTCATAATGCCTTTGACACTGTAAACTTTTAGAGGAAGACATAGTTTGTGAAGCAGTAATAGTTGGCCTGATGCTACTGTAGTTTTCTGTACTGTCTCAAAATTGTTTTGTGTGTGTGTGTGTGTGTGTGTGTGTGTGTGTGAAATCCTATCTCCCTGCATATTACTATAGCCAAAACCAAACAAAAACCAAAAAACTTAAAGTGATTCCATTTGTTCATTATCCAAAATTTAGTGGAGATCAATTATGTGTCAGATTCCATTGTAGGTTCTAGGAAAAGCATGAAGCCTGGTCCCTATTCCTGAGGATAGAGACAGAGATCACTGTATGAGGAGCACGCTTTGAGAAAGTGGGATAGTGTGAAAGGGGCATCGAATAAGAATCAACTGCATCTGGAAAAATCTCTAAGAAAGAGGCCCAGCAATGAGTTGTTACAGACCCTCCAGATGATTCTGAGGACCTAGCACTCTAAGACAATGCTTCTCAAATTTTAGGGAGCATCAGAGACACTGAAAGTGCTTGTTAGAACACATCGATGCCCCCCAGCCTGAACCCCATCATTGCTGATTCAGTAGGTCTGAGGTGGGGCCCCCAAAATGTGCATTTCTGCCATTTCCCTGGGGATGCTGCTCTCCTGGAAATTATACATTGAGAACCACTATCTCAAGGCTTATGCACTGTCCTTGGAAGAATTCAGAAAGTAGTGACTCAAAACATTTCTGTCTGGTGGTTCAGAAGGTAAGCTCCTGTTAAGAAAGGCCGAGTGGAAAAAAGATGAGTTTTCAAAAGCAGGAAAGTTGTGAATGGGTTAGTTTGTGAATGATCAAGTTAGTCGAAGTAGCAGCCACAACTGTTTGAGAAAATACAAAGCAAATCTGTGTGAGGAAGTAGGAATTTGGGTAGATCTATTTACATGTGCAATGGCCACAATTATTTTCTACCCATCAAATTGGGTAGAGTGGGACCCTGCTCCTTAGAATTTCAAGTCTAAGACAATGGAGAATGAAATACTTATCCTGTGTCAAGTTTCCTGGCTTCTTACGAGACAGGCAACTTCAGATTTTCCTTTGATTTCCTAAGCATAAAAAATCATTGGCTTGATTTGAACTTAGGATTTTGTTTACAATCCACATGCAACTTTCTGAACCTGGGAAATGCATGATTTAGAGTACAGAGACCTAAGTGTCAGTATTGGAATGCTACTAATAATTCACCTTTAAAGCTCGACACTTTAAAAATCATTGCTTGGAGTTCAGTCATTCAGAAACTTCATAGAAAGGTAATTATGCAATCTACAATACCATTCACCTATCCGCCCATCCAACAATAATAAAAAAATGACTTAAGTAAATGTACAATTCAGCAGGTTAAGACAGAAATTAAATAGTGAATTCATCATGATTGTGGTAAATGTTATTCAAAAAATACACAACTTTGGCAGGAGCTATAATAAAATAACTTTGTAGGATAGAGTTTGAAGTCAGTGAAGGTGTCTTTGAAGAAAAGCTATTTAAGTTTATATCTGAGGGATGTGTAGGCAGAAACCAGAGGAAGAGCCACGTGTCACAGTGGAGAAGGGCAGCCCATGTCTAGGATGGGAGCAGGAAGACGGGCTAAGAAGCTGAGCTGTGTCAGAGATAATGATGGCAGAGGTCTGTAATCCAGTGACTGCCGCCATATGGAAAGGAAGTCAGCAGGCTCCTGCCATGACCAGACTTGCATATTTATAGAATCGCTTGTGGCTTCAATACACAAAATGCACTGAAGGAGTGAGAGGCTGCATTCTGAACAGATATAAAATAATAATTTAAAGTTCCCATCCTGATCTGGTTCAAAAAAACCACCCCACTTTATAGGTTTCCCTGTTTCATAGCACCACATGCCACGATTATATAGCTTTATCCCTTACAGTGTACAGCACTTGGCTCTGCACTTAAGAAAAATCTTTTTAAGTAAATACAACATGTACAGAGAAGATATAAATGAGAGAAATGAAAGTCCCATCTTCACATTATAAGCTAAGTTGTGGACCCTGCTCAGATTCACATGATGAAGTCCTAACCCTTAGCATCTCAGGAGGTGATTGTGTTTAAAGATAGGCCCTTTAAAGTGGTCATTAAATTAACAGGTGTTCAGATGGGTGGGTCCTGATCGAATCTCCACTGGAGAAGAGAGGAAGAAGACTCAAACAAAAGGGAAGACCAAGTGAAGACCCAGGGTGCAGAAGGCCTCCTGGGTCACCTAGAGGACAAGGAGAGGCAACCAAAACTACTGATATCATGATCTTGGGCTTCTAGCCTCTAGAATTCTGAGAACATACATTTCTGTTGTTCAAGTCAGCCAGTCTGTTGTAGTCACTTAAGGCAGCCCTAACAAAGTACTATATTGATTTAAAAAATCACCATTGATTTTATTAGAAAATGTGCTCAGTTGATTTGAAAGATATTCATTTTTCAGAGGAGTACAAATGAAGGAGAAGCTAATTGATTGAGGAGAGTGTTTTGGGGTGTGAGAGGCAGGGGGAGTACTATGGGATTGCACATGCTGTGTGAAGCATGGATATGACTGCACAGCACGTCTGCGCTGCCCAGACTTCCAATCGCAGGTTGCATGCTCTCCATGAATGACCACACTGGCAAATTTTAGACACCCAGGCAGTATGATTAGCTCTGCCTTGACCATGAAAATGAACGGTTAATAGTGTTCTGCAAACTTAAATGCCTCATGCACTGATTCAAATCAGGGGGACTCTCTTCATTTTGCCCATTTCTCTTCAATATCATCAAACACATCTTGCCTACGTCTACTGGTCTATGTGTTGAACATTATGGAGAATACAAAGAATCTGGAGACAGTGGTTCACGACCTCTAGGAAGTCAAGTTAGAAATCAGTTAACATTCACATTATAACATGTTATCTTTCAAAGTGGGTTAACGGAAGTTGGTTTGGAATGTTTTGCCAAGTGATGTCAAGGTTCATCACGGGTGCACACACCTGTCAGCAATGCGCTGGCTTCTCAATGACACCCACCTCCATCCATTCATCTGTGGGAAGTCAGCTGGAGACACACAGACTTAGCATGTCATGCAGACGACAGCTATTACATTTCTTGTTTGTGGTTGAGCAGTTTCTCTTTTTTTTCTGTGGTTCCTTTAGCTTTGTTTTTTATGAAAGCACAGCAGGTACAAGCGTTTTAACTCCATTCCTGGCTGAGACCCTCTTTTATAAATATTCCCTTGAAGTTAAAGTGAAAACTAGTCTTCCTTTTCCGACAATGAAAAAAATTCAATCTGCTTCCCCCCCACCCCTATTGCATAAAACATCAAAAGCACACAGCCAGGACCTCTTAAATGCAAATGACCCTTGACCTCCTCTTATATTTTTGGGTTCCTTGGGACTTTCCAACCACTCCTGTTTCTCTGTATCTTTCATCTCTTCTCTCTTCCAAGCTGACCAAGAAATTCTATCATCTTCTTCTTTGGAAATCAATGTAAAAGCACTGGGATGCCTTGCTCCCCCACATAGGCTCTTTGGTTTTCGGGTGCTGGGCATTTATTATCTCTGACAGAAACTGGCAGTATCTGATTTTGTTGACCTATAGGCATAGAGAAGTCTGGGGACTCTGTATGCAAATCATTATGACTCCAGACAAATGAAATATGTGTACTATATACATATTTTAGAAAGCACATTTTATAATTACATTGGGATTGTTTGGCTTGAAGCAAAGATACATAGAATCAGCTTGATAAACAAAGTTTATTTTAAATGTTGTTTTTATTTTTGATTTAGAGAAAGGGGAAGAAGGGTGGGAGAGCAACACTGATGTGAGAGAGAGAAACATCAATTGGCTTTATTCTGTACATACTGCCAGACTGGGGACTGAACCTGCAACTCAGGCATGTGCCCTCACTGGGAACCAAATCAGTGACATTGTGCTTCACAGGACAATGGCTTAAACAACTGAGCCACACTGGTCAGGGCTTACACACTTTGGGCCGTAGTGCTAGAAAGGAATGGAATTAAAAGGAAACAATGAGGAAAGATAAATAATATACAGAGCAAGTGTTTTACCTGGCAAAACCAACGCCTCTGCTGACTCCATTAGCATCTCTCAGTATTCTTGTGGAAATGACATGTCCGAAGGGTTTCAGCATATTCTCAAGTTCCTGTTCATCCATAGAAATGGGGAGATTTGAGATGTAAAGGTTTGTTGGGTCTTGTTCTTGTTGCTAAGGGAAGGAAACAAACAAACGCAGTAAGTTCTAAATATTGAGAAACTTACTGCACAAATGGATACACTTTGAATAAACTGCAGTCTAGACTCCATTCCAGCATGGTCTTGAACAGGCTTTCACCAAGGTCACTGCTTCTTTTCACTGAATGTCTTTCTCGCCAGAATGTTTCAATGAAAACCAACCTTTCCATCCAGCCTTCCTTAGAAAAGACTAACAAACTTTCTTCTCTATTACTACTAACTACTACTTCTCTATTACTACTAACATCTACTCTAACTGCCATCACCTCTAGTTACTAATGTTGTAGTAACTGAGTGCTAATAACAGGCTAGGCATTGTTTTAAACATTTAATATGTACTATTTCATTCTATATTCTCAATAGATATAATTATTACTATTTTACACATGACAAAATTGGTCCCTACTTTGTCCAAGTTACACAGCTCCTCTGTCAAAGCCAAGGCTGAAATCTGAGGGGTACTGCTAAACTTAGTGAGCTTCACTGCCCTACTATACAACTGCCTTGGGCCAGACCAGCGGGGAAAAAATGTATGGACCTAGAACAGCATCCTCAGCCTCAGGATCACTGCAGAATTCGCCAGAAGTGCAAATTTTCAGGCCCCACCCAGAACTACTGAATCAGATCCTTGAGGGTGGGCCAAGCAATCCATGGTTGGAAAATCCTTCCAGGTGATTCTGATGAGTGCTCAAGTGTGAGAACTGCTGTCCTAGGCCATCCATGAATATTTATATGCAAATGAATTACAAGGCCTATCACTTCCTAATGCATCAAGTTTAGTGCTTAAGTAAGCTTTGCTTAATAGAACAGGAAACCACACACACAATTGCTAGCATTATTTCCGTGTGCACAAATGTTCTTATTTCACATAATCAATTGGAACTTAGTTGTACATATGTATCAAAATAGCAGCCATCAATCTGACATAATTAATTATTAATATAAAAATATATCAGATGTTTCAGTATACCAATATATTTTAACCAAAATTAATTAATCATAATTTTAACCAACAACATTAGTTTCAAAAATATATGATATTAAATTGGAAAAAAGAAATCCTGAATGAAGTCTATAGGGAATGACATTATGTCACAGCCAAATATCCTTTGTAAAGATGTGGTATCATATTTTGTAGAAAATTTGATGTTTTAAGCACAGTGAAAAAACATAATAAGCAAGATTCCAAATGTTATTGCAGGTCAAGAAACACTTTTGCTATAAAACTCAACTCCATTATTTTTAAAACAACTTTAAATATTCAGATAGGTCATAACATTTTTATTAAGCTTTCAGATGAATGAGATCTATCATTAGGTTCATTTTAAGCATAGTTTAGTTTTCAAACTTTTTTGGATCACTATAGAAAACAGTAGAAACAAACATATAAACAATCAGAAAAAAGACAACACAGCTTTAATTTTTAGTAATAGTGTAAATGCAGACAATGTACGGCTGGAGTCGCTCTCTCTATACAAACACGCCCCCCACTAATAAATGGTATAACCGGAGAAAGAAAACATTATCCCTTCTTAAATGAGCATATTTTTTTTCTTTCTTTTGTTAGCTCGGAGGGTGAGAAAAATAAGAGAAAGAAAAAGTGTTTCAGATATATAATCATGAACCATGTGCACACACAACTGTCAAATCTCACTCCCCATCATTTCATTTCAACCTTTGCATCGTCACTTCGAAGGTAGCTGGACAAATAGCATTGTATTTATTGGGTGATAAGGAAATGGAAGCATGAAAGATTCATCATCTTGTCCAAGGGCAACCCAATAATCAGTGGCAGAGTTAGAATCAGATTTAGTGGCCAAGTTCTCTGTCTGCCACTTGTGTACTTTCCACTAGCCCAGTGTTCCCCAAGTTTCAATCATTTGCATATCATTTTAGAACATTTTGCCAGCCATGTACTCTTTTTTTTTTTTACATAAAAGCTTTTTTTGAAGTCAATGTGTCTTTGGGCATAAATAAATTAATTTCAAAAGATAACTTTCTGTTGGTACCATAATTAATAGGTTAGTATAAAAACAAGGAATAAACCACTATTATTACATCATAGTAAATGACATTTGTTTGCAGAAGACTTTGGTCCTGGTGGATGACATTCTCTTAATTACAAATGAGGTTTGTAATTCAAAAAGGTGTGAGACAGACTGTAACACCAGACAGAGTCTCTTCCTGGGAAGAATAAGAATTGAGAAAGAAGTAAAAAAAAAACAACAACCAAGAAACGACTTTCCTATGATGCAATTTCTGGATACTATCCACCTACATCAATTCAAGTTCTATGAGAGACACATACATATCCCACAGCCTGGGAGTTCCTGGGTTAACCCAGAGTGGGCTGCAAAATGCAGCGGTCTCATGAATAGACTGGAATTTCCCCAACGTTGTTCACTCCTTTGTCCTTGACCAGGCTAAATAATCATAAGCAATCAACTACACTACACACAGTACTGTACAGATCTTGTCATTTTCTGTGGGTAGCAGTGCACCAGTTTGTCCTGATTAAATTTCTAAATTCCCCAGGTGTCGAAGGCATTGCAGCCTCTCAAAATGGTGTGCAGTGAACATGCAGAGCTGTACATAGGGGTTGCCCAGGAAGCTGCGGTCTGAATCCAAACTCCAACAGTAAGGCCAACTCACTAATTTGTGTTTAGAGAGACAACAAAGCATTGTACAATGCCATCCCTTAATTTATATTCACAGAAAGAATATGGTGTTGGGCAGTGTTCTTTATTAAGACATCTGTCCTTTGAAATGCAATATTAGTCTTGAATATATTTGTTGACTTGACAATAGATTTTAATTTCTGCATAGAATGAACTCGAAAATAATACATGCATTTATGTATTATCAGGTTTACGATAATACATAATTTATGTATGTATCAGGTTTATGGAAATGGATGGTGACTGTAAAAATTCTTTGGCGCCATGAACCAAAGAACACTTTCCTCTTAACTTTTCAGAAAAAATTCTTAAGTGACCATTGCTACCTTAAAGAACTTTAAAAAAACTTTTTTTTAACTTATATTTTTTATGATCGTTTGGCTCCAGAATAAACCTAACAGGACATCTTATCCAATCTCATTATTTAACAGCTAGAACAAAACAGAAGGTAGAGGAGTGGGCAGGACTTGTTCAAGGTTGCCTGGCTAATTAGTGACAAGCTAGAAAGAGAGTCTGTGTCCTTTTACACCTGGTCCAATGTCCTTACCAATTCACGGAACTGCCTTTGCTCTTAAAATCCAGTGAATAGTAGACAGCTGTTTGTAGTTCAAAGAAATAGTAAGACAGATAGAAATGAATATCTCTGAAGCCCTTGTTTTAGTCAGTTTTGCTTATTCACCAATTAGTTTTAGTTACAGACTTGGAGCTATGGAAAAGTAAAATAAAGAGTTCCTAGTCTGAGCCAGAATTTCATACATAGTCACTGAACAAATACCCTACAGCATATATTAGTTTATAGAAATATATGATTATAATTCACACATCTATTACATTTAATTGATACCATACGTAATTCCCCCATTTGGGTCTGTTTCAACCTATTTTCATCTGTATTGCATTTTCTTGATTTATTACTTAGTTTTGTCAAAAGATGGTGGAAATGTCAGAAAAGCGCCCTCTCCATTGTTCATGGGAATAAAGACAAGTCATTTTACTCAGGAATATGTAACTTTTCTTCTCCTGAAATGACTTCACTTTTCTTGGACTTATCTGTGTATGGAAACTGTCAAAATAAGATTTATTAGCACTCATTTGCTTTCTAACGCTTAGAAATAACTTCAGAACTTCAGACATTTCAAGGTAACTAAGCAAATGGATACAAATAGAGGGCAAAAGTTGTCCATATCCAGATCGAAGTTTATATCTGCATTTTAGGGATCTGTGTTATGGTTATTATATTACATGGCTCTGAGAAGGGTAGTTAATAGAATAAGATTTCAGAACAATCTAGTAACACACCTGCTTGGCAAAGCTACATTAAAGATTCTGGAAGTGGTTCTTGGCATTAGAGACTTTTGAGCAATGTTTCTCAAGCCAACTGGGGTGATGTCTCATTTGATTTTCAATCTGTCACTGACCAATATTTGTAAAAGGCAACAAAAATAAGTCAATGAAAAGTAAAGTAAAATACAAAGACATGTAAAATGCAAGTTGCGTTTTTTTATTATTATAATCAACAGACCAAAACTGTATTTGGATTAAATGTCACATAAATGTGAAATCGTTACAAAAGGTTTTAAAGGCTTACTCTCATTTTTTGTGCTTATTTCATTGTGGGCAGGTACCCTTTGATGGACCAAACTTTAAGTAACACTCTTTTAGGGAACTATATTCCTATTTTTCATCACAATATAATACTCATACTATAATTCTAAGTTTTAGTCTTTGTTTATTTTATTTACTCCCAGGTCCTTTTTAACTCACATGATTGTGTGTAACCAATTTAGAGTCCTTTTTGAACTACTGGGTGGACCAAGTTATTTTTAGATGAATTATCCTCAGCAGTGGTGCCAAAGCATCCAGGAAATAACCTGAGATGCTTGAAGGAACTCTACAGCAAACACGTGACTACAATCCTTTAAAACACATCAAGATCATGTTCATATAGACTGAAGACAGTAACACTACCATCCTACGTAGAGAGAATTATACAGTATCCAACACGTTTCAGAATTATTTTATTTTACGTGGCTTCTTTTAATAACCCTATTCAGTATATAGGACAAAAGTTATTATTTCCATTCTACAAATGAGAAAGACAATTCTTATATCTTAAGAAGTTGATCAAGGTCATGTGCCTAGTAAGTAAATTAATGACATTATAATGCTTTTTTTACTTGATCTAGTACTATTTCTACCAACCTACAATAACTCAAGATTGTCTATAAATACTGTCATTCATTAGATTTCACCTGTAGGAAGAAAAATCAATGGGCAGATGAAGGGACAATTGTTG